AAAAAAAAAAAAAAAAAAAAAAAAGAGAGAAAAACCAATTTATATCTTAGTTGAATCAATTAAATGCTAAATGATACAATTCCAACTCCATTGAAAAAAAAAATCTCACCATGTTCTTCATGTGAAGAATGGGTGGAAGTCATCTGGCAAGGTGTAAGATCAGAAACCAGTTATTTACATATCATCAAACTATGAAGAAATGGGTGAAAATACATCTCTCATGCGGCCCAAAAGCATCTCTCCTGTAATAAAGTAACAAGTTCTTCTAACAAACTACTACTGCCATCCTTCTTCAGCCCTGCACAGCAAGAGCTTGTAGGTGATCTATAAAAACCTCCAAGCTTAAATCATCTGTAAAGATTATGTCTGATCCCTCCTTGTAAGTCGAGTTCTGCGTAACCGATGGGTTTAACTTAGCAAGAAGAAACCGAGCTTGACTACTATGTTGATCACACTTGATAAGCTTAGGGACTGGTATACGTTCTGCAATAAGCTGTTCAGCGTCGAGCTCTGGAGCCTCTAGTAGCTTCTTCAAGTTCTCAAGGTTTGGGTCTTTGTCGTAACCAAGTTTCCTCCATTGAGCAATCTTGGACCCGTAATGAATAACGACGTTGAAGTAGGAATCAAAAAGCAAGATCACATCCGGCGATATTGATCGAATGTCTAGGAGTACAGGAACAGGAGGTCCATCGAAAGAGTAGAGGAAAAGTGTAGGTTGTATCATGATAAGAGAACCAACGACTCCCTCTCGGTTTAGCATTAGTCGATAGAACGCAGTTTCATCAGGACAACTGTTGAAGACGTCGATAAACTGGGACCTTCTTAGGTAGTACATGAATTGAGGGTACAAGGAGAAGTTGGATTGCAAACGGAAAGTCGAAGGATCCTCTTGTATATAGTCACCAAACTTCGAGGCAAAACAAATCAATGCATCATCAAGCCATCTGATAACATCCCGAGCATAACACGTCTCTGCTCGATTAATAGCAAGCCTAGCCATCACGGAAGCTGCTGCTTCTTGATCAAACCCAGCCTTGATTTCTGGTGAATGGCTTGCAACCCATCTCCTAGCGGCAGTGGTCACTCTTTTACGGACCTCCAGGTTTCCTTTTCTGTATCGTGTTATAAACTGAATGAAGAACGCAGATCCAGGTTGAACTTTCTGCACCTCACTCACTTGGAAGAAAAAGGAAATGCAGGTTTTACTGGACAGTGTATTGAGCTTCCAAATGTAAGTACCACCTTCGCCAATTTCGTTGTCGCTCACCGAGTTGTTCGTTTTACGAAGAGAGACGCAAGGTCCAAGAGCTCCACAAATTTTTACATCCATTGATGTTACTAACTCGATAGTTGCATCGAAATGCATATTCAGCTCACCGTCTTTGTCCCGACTAAAAATATGCCGCAAGCACTTTTTGAATTGATTAGACTCAAATGACTCTCCTAACATCATGAATCCACCAGAGTTTTCAACAGGAACTTTTAACTCTGCTGCTCCAACTTGATCGAGAGAGCAAGCAAAAAAATCAAGAACTACAGATCCATCACACAACCTCTGTGACAATTCCTTGTAGAAACTACTAGATTTCCTAAAGTAAGGTGCCTGGCCATTAACAATATCTCTGTGAGTTCTGATGGAGTGAGCGAGATCCGAATCGACAACGATTCCTGGACCTACCGTTGCAGGGCCAGAGGTGAAAACCATGACACGAGAACCAGAGTTCACTCGGCATCCTTCCAAAAGTGCAACGGCAGCTGATATTGCAGCACCAGTTGCCCTCCGAGGTCGATGGCCAGTTACATTAAGTGAAGTGTTCATCTCTTCCATTGCAGTAGTGATGTTGAACTCACATTCAGATATTGGTAACAAAAATCCCTGTGTGGGAACAACTGGTGTCTTACCTAGCTGCAGCTGCTTCATCCCATAAATCCCCAACAATTGTTGGGTCTGAAGGATTCATAAGCAAAACAGGGTATCAAAACAATGTCCCTCAAACACCAAAAACAATCGAACATCTCTTAGACCTCACTAACTAAAAATAGTAAATAAGATAGTCTATATCCAGAAACCAATGCATTTCATGAATCTACATTAGAAGATGGTGTCAACATTGTGCAGAGATAGAAGATAAAAGCAGACTAGCAGAGATTCAAAGATTCAAAAATTGAAAAATACCTGAAGTGACGAGAGCTCACGATCCCCAGGAAAGAGGACGACCCTTGAGCATTCAGAAAACTTAAGGTCATAAACATGAACCATTGAATCAAAAGCAATCAAACCCACTAAAGCATTCTCCGGAAGATGTTCCACAACGAGTAATAACTCATTTTTAAGTGCTTGAAGCTCCTTTTCTACCGAACAATTATCAACAACGAACACGAAGGCCGGCCCATTTCCACGGGAATCTCGAGCCGGCAGCGATGAAGAAGCTGATACTGAAAGAGAAGAAGACGAATGATTTCTCGCCCAATTACGGCTCGTATTCATATTGGAACCAGAATTCGCAACAGGGCTTTCGATCTTCCTACTGGGCGCATACTCCACCGTACTGTAAGTCGGAAAAAGCTCTGCGGGAAGATTTGTCTCTCCAATATCAGCATAAGAACGAGGGAAAAAATTCTTATGGTAACAAAACGAGCAGAACCAAATGCGAGACGTGTAATCGACACGAGCATAGGGGTTCAAAACGGCACCACATTTAAGACACGAGAGAGGCTCATAAGAAAGTGTAGGGAGCTCGACGGATTGCATCAATGGCGTACACATAATGCTGAGAGGAATAACCAGAGCCAATGATTCAGCTTTAGAAACCGGCCATGAGTTCCATGACCATCGGAGGCCTTCGATCGCCTCCAGTTCGACGAAATCCATAGGAAAATCGACGTCTCAGGTAATCCCTCCCCGTCGATTACATGGAAAAGCTCCGAAATGAAAGAAACCCTAATTTCGCATCAGAAACTAGATGGGAAAGCACGCGCTGTAGAATCAATGGCGGAATTCTGACAAATGGAGAATCCCAAATCGCTTTTGCGCTGGAAAAAGAAACGGGGGGAAAAGAGTAAAAGAGAAGGGGTTGAGAGGGTTATGAGAGGAACTGTTTGGTTTGCCGGAAAGTGAAAAGAAAATGGAGAGGGAAAACCCTAGGTTAGGGTTAGGGTTAGGGTTTGGGATTGGGATCGCAGGGCGAGTGAAACGAATTTTGATCGGAAATTTTTCAATTTTGTTGCAGATGAAATGTTGGCTAATTCGAGTTCATCTTCCCCATTGTTTCCGGTTTGATTCGGTGCGGGAAGGAGCAGGAATTAGCAATGCTGATCGAAACCACCCAATAGAGCACAGCCACGTCAAGGGTGTCTTTTTATTATTTTCTTTTTTTTAATGAAATTACTTTTTCTTTACAATAAACAAAAATACCTCTTGAATTAAACAAAAGAATTATATACCTCAAACGTCTCTCTTATTTTGTAGCCGTTGTCCTAATTTTGTAGCCACTCTAGATGAATCGTTAGAGCAAATCAACCTGTTTTTTGTACATGGGTTTCGTGTGATCAACTAGATGAGTATTAACCCCATTCGCATTTGGGCCTTCTTCTTCAATCAGTTGGTGCTTAACCCAGCGAGAAACTGGTCAGTGAACATGAATCCAGTGACGGGTTGAGGTGAGCTTACATTATTATTTTTTAATCAAATTTGGGTTAGTTCCTTACGTATTTATCGAGACCATTCAAAGTTGGTAACGTTGAGCTTATGAAGTTCCTTTCAAAAATTAAAATTATTTTTTTTCCAATTAATTATTTATTAAGATTTTCTTAACCCGCTTTTGATTCTCTAAAAATTCGTGTATTGAAGGCTCAAGAACAAAAACATATGCACAGTTATGGCGAGAAATGGTTGAAACGTCAGCCCAAATCGCAAAGGCTTCCAATTTTTATTGACCCAATAAGCGGTTGGGTTGGGCCTAAAATAGAGCCATCAATGATCTCATGAAGGCCCATGGATAAATAATTAGCGGGTGACACGGTGGATGTAGCCGTTAAAAAAAACTCGATAATTTGAAAAATCTAATTAATCCAGTTCAAGATTTGGGTTAGAATTCCCCGTGTGACATACTCATATTACATACTTTTAGTTTCTTAAGAGTGAAAAGATATTGAGGGGACAATATCTACTCGAGGTGAGCTTGGGCTCATATAAAAACTATCATTACAAGCCAACACAAGTTCTTTGTCCTCACTCACATATATCCAAATTGCTCCAAGTAAATCACATTTAACCATGGAGTTCCTATAATTGAGCCACTGAAAACCTTGTTAGTATAAGTAGTAACTTTCAATTCCTTTAAGTCTATCTTAATCATTATATCAACAGAGTTGCTCCAGTCGAATGAGTCTCTATTCATTCATATACCTCTCTTTTATTTAAATATGTCTCTCTTTAATATCCCAAGCATCCCATTATATTCATCGATATAATGGGTTTCTTTTTTCATTCAAAATTAACTCACCGTTTAAAATTTTTTTAAGAATTAAACTAGAAAAGAAAATTTATGTATTTAATATAACAATAGAAAGTGAGTAAACGGTTAGTCACTTTACTACTAAGCTACTTAAAAGAAAGTTCATATCTAAGTCATTCACATGTTGTCAATGCAAATACGTTCTATTTTTTTTAAAGTCGATGTTAATTTTTTTAAAGATGAAATTCAAACTCTAAATAATACAGTAATCAATTGAAGTATGTTCATAGCGAACCGTTCAATTAGAATAAAAATAATATATAATGTTAGATCCAAGAAAACCAAAGAAAACCAAAGGACAATACTAATATAATATACTGATTAAAATTTTATACATTTATAATATTCATATTATTTGATTATGATTATTCCCACCATAGACCATATTATAAAATAAAATTCTCTAATTAACATGCTGGCACATGCCCTTGTTCCCTTTCTATGGGTCCCTAAATATTTATATTTTTTTCCTTACCCACAAATATCATAAAAATTAATTTAGATTCAAAGAAAATAAAAATATAAAAAACCCATTTTTTTCATAGCTTAAGAAATAATAGTAATAATAATAAAACATAATAATAATAATAATAATTAAACATAAAAACTGTTAAGGATATTTAGTAATAAATTATAGTTTACCATATATATTATATTTGATATTTTATTATAAGGCAAATATTAGATATTTGCCTTATTATCATAGATATCTTTCCATTTATTGTTATTTCCATTTATTACTATTTCCATATCCTTGTAATTTATTTGATTATAAATAAGATAACTTTCACACCTAAGGTGTGGTGGATTAATCAAACATTCACATGGTATCAGAGCCCTCTCGGTTTAACAACCCTGATCCTTTCTTTTCAATGGCTTTTGAATCCTCTAATCTTCTTCTCCACCACCCCTGCTGGTTTTAACGCCGCAGGGGCAGTCTTCATGGCTGCCGTAGTCGGAGCCGATTGATTACTCTTCGGCTCCACCCTATTGACCTCCAAATCACCTTTCGTCATACTCTGTACATACAACCTCACCTTTTCTAACCCAATCGGTTTTCCCCTTGGCCAATATAGTCTCTCTCATTTTCTTCCCAATCAACCTTCATCCTTCACATAAACCCTAACCAAAACCTATCAACCTTTTGCAGAGATTTACCTTCGGAATCTGGGTGCCGCACTGGCCTATTTGCCAACCAAGTTGCCGCCGCCCTTCCTACCAAAATTGGCTTCTTCGCCCGATGAGGCGACTCTTCCGACTGCCCTTCTCGCCAAAATTGGCTCCTTCGCCCAATGTGGTGACTCTTCCGGCTTCAACATTATCTTTGTCCCTTGCTCTAGGTTTCCCCTTCTACTTCTTGGGGTTAGAAATATTCTCATCAGAGCCAAGACAGCATCGTCGCTAAGCGACAATCCCTCTTCATGGGTTAGACATATTCTCGCCGAAGCCAAGGCAGCATCGCCGCTGAGCGGCGATCCCTCTGCAATTTTTGATGGCCAGAACCGGGTTGTTAGCATCTTCATAAAAAGTGTTTCTCAACCTCTTTGAATTTTTCAGATTCAAGCTTCACGTTCGTTTAAATCCGACGCTTAGCTTGCGGTGGGGTGTTAAGGATATTTAGTAATAAATTATAGTTTACCATATATATTATATTTGATATTTTATTATAAGGCAAATATTAGATATTTGCCTTATTATCATAGATATCTTTCCATTTATTGTTATTTCCATTTATTACTATTTCCATATCCTTGTAATTTATTTGATTATAAATAAGATAACTTTCACACCTAAGGTGTGGTGGATTAATCAAACATTCACATGGTATCAGAGCCCTCTCGGTTTAACAACCCTGATCCTTTCTTTTCAATGGCTTTTGAATCCTCTAATCTTCTTCTCCACCACCCCTGCTGGTTTTAACGCCGCAGGGGCAGTCTTCATGGCTGCCGTAGTCGGAGCCGATTGATTACTCTTCGGCTCCACCCTATTGACNACATTAAAATTTCAGAAATACACAGAATAGCATGCATGTGTTCCAAGCTGGAACCATCTTCTTCATTCTCTCTCCTCACCTAGCTTCTGCTTTTGCATTTCTCCATGGCTCTTGGGGCTGAAGAAAAGCAAAGAAATTAACATAAAATCCAATGGAGGTTTCAATGGAGATGTTGAGTTAGGGTTTTTCGATTAATTACCGAGACCGATGGCTTCTGATCCCTTCATGATTCTTAAACGCTTGCATGAATCCACGAACATTCTGTAAGAATGTTGTTTGGTTAGAACGGAAGGAAAGAGAAATGAAATGGACGGGACCGAGGAAATTATTGAAACTTACTCCCATGGAACGTCGCCGACGAGCATCCAGTCGCCGTCTTTGTCTTCGTAAGTTGGAACGAACTCGGAACTATTTAGAAGATCCATCAACTTTCTTTCGTTCATGAAGTCTATCATTCCTTCCGTGCCATAATCACCTTTTTAACGAAAGAAAAACCCTATTAGAAAGAAGAACCACTTTTTGGAATGAGGAAAAAAAAGGTTTTTTTTTTTTTTTTTTCGGTACCCATGGTGAAGGAGCTGAACATCTTGGCCAAGGCATCTGAGAGCTCTTGGTAGCTTTGGTACATTTTCAAGTCTACCTTACGAAGATATGGAGCACCATCCATGCAAACCTTCACAAATGCAGCCGAGCCACCGTTCCCTTTCTCCGCTCCTTCACCGGTTGTGTTCTTTTGTGCCATCATGTTCTTCCTATATGATCGCACTGGTGGCCAACCCACGACTTGCGCTCTAAAATATCCAAACAAGTCTCATCAGGACAAAAAAAAATTATTCAATGAAGCTGTTGCCATTCAAATCTTACTAATAAAACTATACAATATAAATCTATTATTGAATTTAGCTTGATTTGGAGGAAGAAATTTACTTGGCAGGAGGCTTAGCCGGATCCTTGGAGCAGAGGGTCGTCTGGCCGTCGACGACGTTTGCTGCAACATTCTTGCTGCCACCACCGCCGCCATCCTTACTCTGAATTTTAAGCTTGAGATCAACAGTTTCAGAGAAACCCCGCTTGCCAGAAGGTTTGAGGGTCATCTCCAACGGCTGATCTCCTCCACCGCCGCCGCCGGGCAACCCGAGGCAGAGCTCGGTCTCCTTCAAGCTAACAAACTCGTTGGGCATTTTCCGGCCGACTGCTTCCATGTAGAATCAAAACAAGCTTATAAAATGCCGTCGTTTTGGCCTTCAACTTCCTTCTCTCCTTCTAGTTCTTGTGTGTATTATATTATGATCCAATGGATGGCTATGGCTTTGATTTTAATAGAGACTGCTATCCAATAATATAAGCAACCAAAATTCACTCTCTTTTATTGGATAGGAAGTAAAAAAAATTTATGTATTTTTTTTAAAAAATCAAATCATTAATAATTGGTCCCTACTATAAAGTTTATTTATTTATTTATTATATATTCAATGCAATAAAGTATATGACATCTCAATTCATTTAACCAATTTATTCATTTTTTTTTTTAAACAATTTTAAATTTTAAAACGGTGAGATTCACGGCGATACATAACCGGCTAAACTGAACAATATTTGCTAACTATCGGAATAATTTCAACGGATTAAATAGTTTTTCAATAAATATTATTTTATTTCAATGAGATAATTTATATATTCTTCAGACGAATAAACGAACACGTCAAATGAAAAAGGAGTTGTAAGTTAGGCATGTGGGGATGAGTAAACAAGAATTTTCATATTGCCAATGTGAAAATTGGAACTTGAATTGAGTGCTTAACTGTTATAGTCAACCATCACATGCAACACACTAATCAAACTTTGTTATATATTAATAAATCATACACTTAATTTTTCAACCCCTACCATTATATTTCATGTTACCAAAATATTTACATTTCTATAATAAAGTTGGTGGTAATCTCATACTATATTATATAAATTAAATATAACCCTAAATATTTATAAATTTAACTTTGAAAATCGTGAAACTGACGACGATATGTAACAGACCAAAGCGGACAATATATGTTAATGGTGGATTTGTATTCACATCAATTTTTTGTCTTTTAATAATATATTAAATAAAAACTATTTTAAATTAATTTCTCGCATTTTTTATTTGCAGTAAAAATGTTGTATGCTGTCACAAAATTAGGAAACAAATAAGCGGATTTTCTTGCAAAACCATGTTGCATTATCCCTTCCCATCAAATTATAAAATTTTTAAAATATTAATTTTCATTTTTGTAATATATATAAATATTTATTTATTTATTGAAAATAAGCCATGTTACTAATTAAAGCCATTTGACATTCGCTCCTGGATCAATGAAATTATTATTATTATTATTATTATTATTATTATTTCATTTTAACAAAATAAATAAATAAATAAATATTCTTCTATGGGCCTTATGAGCATATATCCACATGAAAAATTATATTTTATATTTATATCTATAAATAGTAAAGACATGGATGAAAATTTGCATATGGTTTGTCCATTGCATTTTCTACCTTTATTTTTAATATATATATATATATATATATATATAATGGATGATATTGGAGGATTTAATTAACTTGAAACTACGCTTTCCTTGCTTATTTAGGACCCAACTTTGGTTGACGTGAGGAGTTAGGAGAAAAGACTTCTTATCATTAGGCATACATCCATATGTTCGATCAATATCTTTCATTATTTTCTTATCTTAAACGTCCTACTCAAGGTTGAACCACTTGATGTAACAACTCAAATCTATGAACAGCAAATATTGTCTTATTTGAGCTTTTTCTTTCAACTTAATGCGAGATGGATGAACAAGAGAGTTTTATGGTATATAATACTTTTTATTATAAACCTGTGTTGCATAGACACGAAGGAATATAGATAAGATAATAAGAAAGCCTTAGTAGGTCCCATGTGACCGTGTTCGAGCAACGCGTTGTTAGGGTAATAAGAAAGGAAGAAGATGCGAAACACATCAAAATGGAAAAGGGGATATGTTTGAAGAGATCCCCGCAAGAGACATGAACATGAAGCAACAGCATGAAATGGTATGAGCATCATTCATTCTAAAAGAGAAATAAGATGACATGGTGGTGACTGACAGACAAGTCACATCTCATGGAGAGGGAGACATTTCTAACCCTAGCTGTGCCCTTGCTCTGTCACAATCCCTAAACCCACCATTTCTCTTTGCCTTGTTTCTTTCCTAACCCTAACTCTCTCTCTCTCATTCAAATCCACACATGCATTTTCTTCGTTCTCGTTCTCGTTCTATTATGTTTCTGAACTTTCAAAATTATTATAATTTCTAAACTTTAAAACATAATCATACTCATAACATAAAGAATCGAAAGGGTTGTTTTTTTTTACTGTTCAAGTATAGAAATTCATATTCATAAATGTGAGAGTTTAAGAGTTTTCTGTAGATATTTAAGTTGTGGATCGAAACCGAACAAGTTTTAAAGTTGAGGACCAAAAAAAGTAATAAAAATACTCGTTACCGTTCAAAGGTTTCAATAATATTCATAAATTTTCAAAAAAAAATCTAAAAAATACCTGATTTTAGACAGAAACTGTCACTACTTTATTTTAAAAATACCTATGAAAATTTTAAAAATAAAATTAACCCCCTTTACCTTTATAAATAAAATCATTAATGATATGGACAAAAAATCATTTATCAGGAAGGTATTTTTGAAACAAAATATTTTCAAAATTTAAAAAAATATATATTTATAAAATTATGGATATTTTTATTAATTAGAAAGAAAAGAAAATAGTCAAAATCATATACATACATTATTTATTAATATTATTAATATTAATATTAATATTGTTGTTGTTGTTGTTATTATTATTATTATTATTATTATTATTATAAGTAATGTGAGTTCATTTTCACAATGTGTTGTGTGGTGTGACTATTAATGTGTACCCATTCGTATTAATGATAACTATTTAAGTCTCCTTTCATAAATATATAGTTTTTTATTTCTTTTTTAAAATTAAAAAATTCAAATATTTAAAAATCACAAAAACTTATTTATTTTTATTTTTTCTGTTTAAATATTATTACCCTCCATTATTTATATATTTATGTTTTCTCAAATAATTGTGGCTGAATAATTAGCCATTTTTATGGAGATAGATCAAATTACTTTCTTGCCCCTTGTTTTTGTATTTTCGATCCCTTAGAACACTTTTTTAGATTACCAATTGAATTGGATTTGGATTAAAAAGAATTTTTAAAAAAACTAAAGGCTAGACTTATTATAAAACTTTTAATTAATTAATCACGATCTTTAACGATCATTTCTCAAATCCCATAAGAATAATAACGAACACAAGCTATTTTCTCAAATCGTACACGTTAACTATAATATAATCCAACTTTAAGCCTAAACTAAGCTCTCGGTCAATAATAAACATTTAAAATCAACAAATCAAATCTGTCTACGATCTCGACGATCCCGAGTCTGATACTTTTCAAAAGGGCAAAAGGGGCATGTGTTTATTTATTTAATTGAATAAATTTTATAATATATAGTTTTGGAGCATAGTTTTAATTAAAGAGTAGGTGTTTGCTCCAGTTGATTATAATCTTGATAATATTCCAAATGTTCCTTAAATTTAGGACATGGTGGGGGCTGCCCTATTTTTGGTTGGAATGTCTAAAAAACCCTAACTTTAAGCTGCCCTCATGCTGACCAATATTTCACTTATTTTATTTATTATTGCTGTTTCAAATATTATTGACATTTATGAAAGTTCGTAAAAACAGACAAAATTTATCAATGGTAATAATAAAGATACGTACAAAATTCATATATTTATAAGTATATAGTTGTTGCCAAAGAATATTATTGAATGTGTATACAGAATGTCAGTCTATAATGATGAAAATTAATTCAAACTATATTATTGTTTTTTCATTCTAAAGTAATATTTTGGATGTAATATTTATGGTACAAACTTACATGATATCACCTGACATGATAAACCCCAATAAATCTAAATGTATTTCAATTCAAATTTATGTTTTGTCTTCTTCCGATCATAATTGCATCATTCATTTAGATGAAGTTCATAACAGAAGTCAGGTCGTAGCGTAGAAAGGTAGTTTGTGAGATTCCACATTGGTTGGAGAAGAGAATTAAAATATTTGTTGTTACAAATGATATTAGAGCCAGACATTGGGCAATGTGTTAGCGAGGACGCTGAGTCCCCAAATAAGATGGTTTAAGAGATCTCGCATCGGTTGGAAAAGGAGAACGAAACCTTCCTTATAAGGATGTGGAAACTCCTTCGCAGTTTAAAACCTTAAGGGGAATCTTAGAAGAAAAAAACCAAAATATGACAATATTTGCTAAGGCTGACTTTGGCTATTACAAATAGTATCAAAGCCAGACACCGAGCGGTGTGCCAGCGAGGACGCTGGGTGACACAATCGCACTTTTAAAGGCAGCGGACTAGCGATTGTGCGGCACTCACTTTCCAACGACAAGTGAGCTAAGCCAATTTGTACTTGCGTCGCCTACGGCCAAGCGACGTATGATCAAGCCTCTAGCCTCGGTTTTAAAAGAAGGTTTTGGAAAACGAGGGTAGAGAGAGATTTTAGAAAGAGAGATTTTTGAAAGAGACGTTATATAAGCAAGCAAGAGAGAGAGAGATAACAACGGCTTAGCATATATAACCTTGGGTAGGGAGAAGTTGACAACTAGTCATATCCCCCTATAGTACATTCTGAGGCATTTCATGTCTGGCAGGCCTAGACATGATATTTTTGAGGCGTCATACTCCCTAGAACTACAAAAGTAAAAACACTAGAATGAAAAGACATGACAAGGGTTTGGCTTGCCATAGGCATGCGGCCATGGGCAACACGCCCTGGACGAGCATGACCGTGACACTGGGCTCCCAAGAGGGGTGTTATAAGAGTGTGAAAACCTCTCCATAGTAGACATGTTTTAAAACCTTGAGGAGAAGCCCAAAAGGAAAAACCCAAAGAGTACAATACAACGAAAGAGTTTAATATCTGGTAGTCGTGTGGCTTGGGCTGTTGAATTATTCGGAGAATGTCTTACTATTATATCGACAAGATGGACAATCAAACATGTATATCAATTCAACCGAAGCTGAAAGAGGTGAATAGGGTCCAAAACAACTAAAATAACAGATTTGTTTACGCCGATTCCTAATCTCAAAATTCAAACGTGATGAAGTTCATTGAGTATAGCTTAGGTAATGTATGTTGCTTAGAATTATAATACAACAATTACG